GTCGCGCGCGCACACACACAACACTGTGTGTGTGTGTGTGTGTGTATATATATATATATATATATATATATATAAATTAATTTAAAGAATAAGTATTACTCTAGCAAACTCTAAAAATACAAGATATTTACATGCACTTTCCTGAAATGGACTGACCCTAAAGACTTTTTTTTCTCAACACCTATCTTTATATTGTATTGGGAAATAAGGACTTTAACACAATCAAGAGGTAGCTAGAACCATTAGATTGTCACATTCTGCAGAATGACTCTGCTTCTACTGCAGGAAGCCCACAGCTTTGATGGTGTATAGAACTCATTACTGTGCCAGCCAATCTGTCACCTAAAACACCCTCAGAAAAGCAGTTTGAAAAAGCGAAATGCTGCTACGAACAGATCCTGTTTTCCAAAGGCAAATGATAACATGTAACAGTCCTCATGAAAATATGTGCCTCCTAGAACTTTCAAGAAACATTATAATGTTTCAATTAATGTTCCCCAAATAAATGAAGCAACAGCCTCCCAGTGCATCAACAAATAGTTCATATATGTGTCAATAGAGAAGATTGCAGAAGTTTTAAATTTTTTGCCACTAGAGCCAAAAAATACATGACAGTTAAAATAGTGTTTAACAACACTTTGTTTTGTAACACTTGCTCGTATGTGTTAATGGTTCATTTTCATCATAAGGTCTTTCCATTACATTGATGCATTGTGGTCTGATTTCATTTTAGAAAGTTGTGAATTTCTCAAAAATGCCCCGCCAGGATTTTACCCAAGGCTTGGTGTCATTGGTTTTGCTGGAATTGTTGGACTGTTTCTTTCTAGAGGTAGGTGCTCTTTTTAAATGGCTTATTTTATGAAGTTGGGGTAAATCATTTAACATCCAATAAAAATGAATACATCTTTAACTACAATATGTGCAATTAAATCAGGACTCAGAAATGTATCTTGACGCACATTATTTCTGCTACAAAAGTTTTTTTTTATATTGTTTAATTTCAGTGTTATGGATTCTGTTGGTTACAGAAATTTGGTCTATAAAAGACACCACTACTGAATGGCGCTTATAGTAAAAGGCGAAAGATTTATACAATTTGAAGAGAAACCAGAGTATGATGAAATCTAAGAGGAACACCAGAATTGCAATTATCAACCAAATTTAATGCTAAAGCATTCAGCTTATAAAACTAATCTTTCTCTTGATTTAGTTGCATCACCACTACACCTCACAATCCCAGTCCCAGTCCTGGTCTACACTGGGTGTGTGTGTATGTGTGTGGGGGGGAGAATAGATCTAAGTTAAGCAACTTCAGCTATGTCAATAACGTAGCTGAAGTCGATGTACTTAGATCGACTTACCATGGAGTACAGAAGTCAACGGGAGAGTGATCGGGGATCGATTATCGCGTCTTGATTAGACACGATAAATCGACCCCTGCTGGATCGATTGCTGCCCGCCGATCCAGCGGGTAGTGTAGACATACCCTCAGTGTGGTAGCATGTTTTTGGGGGGAAAAATAGTAATTTTTAGTTAAGGGAAATTGGATGCATTTCTTAAAAACTTGTTTGCAGACTTTTTTTTTTTGTCATAAGTATTCAATTAATTTAAACATGGCATTTTAAATATTGTTACTGTGAAGATTCTGCTTTGTAGTAATTTTTGCAGATAATGCTCTCTAAAGTGTGCATCATTCAGTTTACAGAGACAGTTACCAATAAGCAGCTATTCCTTTACAGTTTACTTAATGAAATTAAGGAGACTATCCAATTATGAACTAGTGATTAAAGGGACGCTGCCAATTCCTCTGATAGTTTTCTTTAAAATTATTTTTAATTAGTTTTTGTGCTCCTCTGTTGGTTTAGAAAGGGCCTTTGGATGGGCCTGAAAGCTACATAATCAAATATGCTTATGCACCCACTTCCTCCCCCACCCCCTTTTGCTGTCTGGGCTCACACCTGCTTCTGCTTGCCGCTTGTTCTTTCAGTTTCAGCTCTGATAATGCTATTACACATAGTGAACACCCTTCTCCAGGGCCTATAGCTATCAACAAACAACGAAACTGACTGTAAAGTAAGCCAACTGAAAAAAGAGAGGTTTTTTTCCTTTAATCTTTATTATATACTCGGAGTTAATTTTAACAATAGTAGGCAAAAAAAAAACCTCAAACATTTGGTTCTGAATTTTTTTTAAGTTGACTGTGTCCCTCTAATTGGCAAGTTAACTGACAAAGCAAGGTTCTTGAATGTTGTTGTGGTCTCATCTCTACGTAGAGCTTACCTAGAAGTAAGTTATAGTATAATGTAACATGTTTATACATATTTTACAGTGTAGAAATTCAATGTAACATTTAATTATATTGCTTAAAAAATAGTATATTTATGCTTTGTTAGGAAAGGGAATTTGAAATACAGTAGAACCTTAGACTTATGAACACCTCAAGAATGGAGGTTTTTCATAACTCTGAAATGTTTATAACTCAGAACAAAACATTATGGTTGTTCTTTCAAAAGTTTACAACTAAACATTGACTTAATAAAGCTTTGAAACTTTACTATGCATAAGAAAAACGCTGCTTTTAACAATCTTAGTGCAGATGAAACAAGCACAGAAAGAGTTTCCTTGCCTTGTCAAATGTTATTTTTTAAATGTTCCCTTTATTTAGAACAGGGTTTAAAAGGAAACTAGATAAATTCATGGAGGTTAAGTCCATTAATGGCTATTAGCCAGGATGGGTAAGGAATGGTGTCCCTAGCCTCTGTTTGTCAGAGGGTGGAGATGGATGGCAGGAGAGAGATCACTTGATCATTGCCTGTTAGGTTCACTCCCTTAGGGGCAGCTGGCATTGGCCACTGTTGGTAGACAGGATACTGGGCTGGATGGATCTTGGGTCTGACCCAGTATTGGGTACTGACCAAAGTAATGGCCCAGTACTGGCCATTCTTATATTCTTATTTTTTTAGTAGTTTACATTTAACACAGTACTGTACTGTATTTGCTTCTTTTATTTTTTTTTCTGGTCTCTGCTGTGGCCTGCTTGCCTACTTTCAGTCCAAATGAAGTGTGTGGTTGACCAATCAGTTTGTAACTCTGGTGCTCAGAACTCTGAGGTTCTAGTGTATGCTCATTTTTGTAGAAGTTCTTAGTATGTGACACTACTGAACTGTGTCTGTGGTGAATCATTATATTGATATGGATGAATTCTGTAACTCTATAGGAAATATTGTTGATAATGGTATGCACAGCCAAATGGTGTTTTCATTAACAAAATCAGAAATGAGCAGTTCTTTGAACAAACTGGAAGTGATGTGTGACTATAGCAGACAAATGTATTAACACTTCTCCAATTAAATTTATTTTGATTATTCTCTGGCAGTGAACAAACACACTGCTTAACATTCATGATGGTATTTAATGAGAAGAACATTGCCAGATCATGATTGTAGATGTTTTTCTTAAAGTTCCAACTTCAGGAGTCATGTGATTATGTGAGAATCTATTTATTTATTTATTTATTTAAAGGGGAAAAAATGTATGGCCATTGGGGTTGTGGAAAACGAGTACCCTAAAGGCTTAAGAACTAGAAGATAAATAAAAAGAACCCATAATTTTATCTTTTTAACCCCATCTTATGATTTTGGGGTGGACCTGATTTGAAATGCAAATCGCTTACTTGCAATACAAAAATCAAAGCACTTTATTTTTGCATCTGAGCTTGAAATGTCAAGAAGCTAGTTTACAATAAGTTTTAACTTTGAAGTATATAATGAGTAAGGCTACGTTTTAGTCATGGGTATTTTTAGTAAAAGTCATGGATAGGTCACCGGCAGTAAACAAAAATTCACGGCCCGTGACCTGTCCATGACTTTTACTATATACTCCTAACTAAAACTTGGGCCCGGGTGCTGGGGGGTGGGGATGGCCCAGGACCCCTGCTGGGGATGGGGGACGGCCTGGGACCCCTGCTTGTGTGTGTGTGTGGCAGGCAGGCTCCCTTCCCGGCTCCGACCAGCGTGTCCCTGCAGCTCCTGGGGGAAGGGTGGCCAGGGGGGCTCTGCGCGCTGCTCCTGCCACTAGTACCAGCTCCGCAGCTTCCATTGGCCATGAACCGCAGCCAATGGGAGCTGCGGTGGTGGCACCTGTGGGCGTGGGCAGTGCATGGAGCACCAGCCGCTGCAGAAGTCATGGAGGTCACAGAAAGTCACGGAATCCATGACCTCCGTTACAAACATGCAGCCTTAATAATGAGTCCAACAGGAAGAAAACCTATATCACAAGTGTACATGTGGTAGAACTATATTTATGGTAGCTGGTAAAGGCTGATCTCTGTTATGGAACATGCCTTCTGCTTGATATGCCAAATGGATTCTATTTTAGCATATTAGAAGCATTTGCATTCATTTCTTGAACAGAAGTTTATATAATTCTCATAGCAATATTTCTTTAAAGGTTTTGGTTATTCCACCCTTAAATTTTTTTGAATCCCCACATCAGATTTAATTATGAGGTAGTTATCACTGAAAGATTCTGTTAAAAAGTACTCTCAAAAGAGTGAAAAATTAGTACATCGGTCTAATATGATTGTGTTTCTTAGGAAAGTAGTTAAACTAAACAATTACTGATGTGGTAAATTATAATGTACCTAATGAATGATTATATATAAAAAAAAAGGTACAGTATCACTATCCAAGTTTCTGGAGAACCAGTACTCTAACAGGAAATATTTTCTTCCATGGAACAGGTTCAAAAATAAAGAGGTTGGTGTATCCAGTGGGCTTCATGGGGATTGGTGCCTCGCTATATTATCCACAACAAGCTGTTGCTATTGCAAAGGTCAGTGATTACACTTTTAGGTGTGGGAAACACCTCTTACTTCCTGTCACTTCATAGCTTCAAATGAGTAAACCATTTTTTATTTAAGGGTTGTCAGCATGCTTGGCCTTCATACAAAGAAGGCACATACATTTCTTCTCCCAAGGAGCTTGCAGTTTAAATTGGACATAAACTGGGTGAATTAATTTAAATCAAAATTATTTAAATCAGCAAGCAGGAAACCTGATGTAAATAATCAATTTTAATTATGTTTTGCATTTGTACTGTTTACTTTCCTAAAGAAAAGTTGATTCTCATTGGTTGGTAACTATTAAAACATGTTTGCAACTAAATACAGTGGAACCCTGCTATAACGCGATCATTGGGGTCCAAAAAATTCAATCGCGGTAAATGCGGGGTTGCATTATAGCGGGGTTCCACTGTACTTGTGTTCAGCTTCCGCGCCCTGGCTAGGGGGAGGGAGGGAGCGGGGGAGAGAGAGAAGGGGGGTGGCCAGGGCTTCCTTCAGCCGGGGGGAAGTGGGAAAAAGTTCCTCGGAATATGAAAGGCAGACCATTCTACTCCTGCTAATTCCTAAGGCAAAAGGGGGCCTCAGACCCATCCTAGACTTGCATCGCTTCAACAAGTCGCTCCAGAAGTTGAAGTTTCGCATGGTCTCCCTGGCTTCCATCATCCCCTTCCTGGATCCGGGAGACTGGTACACCACCCTTGATTTATTTTCATATTTCCATACTTCCATATTTCCATCTTCCCAGGGCACTGGTGCTTCCTCCACTTCGTATTGGGTAGGTGCCATTTTCAGTTGACAGAGATGCCCTTTGCTCTCGCGTCAGCCCCGAGAGTATTCACAAAGTGTATAGTGCCAGTGCTGCTTACCTGAGACGTTGGGGTATGTGTCCAAATATACCCGTACTTCAACGACTGTTTGATAAGGGGCCGGTCTCTGGATCAGGTGTGGAGACATCTCGACCTGGTATGTTCGACCTGTCTTGACCTGGGGCTAATAATAAACAAGAAAAAGTCAACCTTAACACCAGTACAACACATAGGTCATGGTAGTGGTTCGGGTGCACACGGATCTTCATTCAGCTTGTTTCCTGGGTCCACTGGACTTGTCACTGTGGTGAGGGGAAAGAAAGCTCCTCGGAGTCATTTTTCTCACACTTCTCCACAAGATAAACTAAAAAACTTGTGTCCACATTGCCTAGATGCTTCTCTTCCATTCCCTAAGACTCAGCAGGGCTCCCTTAGGAAGCTTGATTTTGTTCTTCTCTGTTCTTCAGATGCCAGGATCAGTGACTTTGCAGATAGTGTCTTTGTTGGATAGGAGTTTGGAACTGCACTCTGAGGAAGAATTGAATTGCACTAGAGTTACAGATGTGTCTTCTGTAGCAGAAGACTGATTATATAGATACGATGCGCACAGGTCATCTTGTCCTACAAGCTATGAAATGTTGCTGGAAATTGATTACTGGCAAAATTGACAAGTTCCACGGACTGGATGCCCTATTGGCCATTGCTCAGACACCATGGAGACCTTCAGTCTTGTCACCATAGGCATTCCTCTCCGCCTAGTGATCAAGCAAAGGCTCGCACCTTGAATCCGAGAGCTAGTTGCTCTGCCTACTTACAAGGAGCACACTCCCACTCTAGTGCTTGGTGCTATGTCTGAAGAAGAGGAGGAGCCTGTAGTTTAAATGGAATATCCTCATTTGGGCCCTGAGCTTGAAACTGAGTCTTCTGATGAGAGGTTTGGTGATGTTGCAGCAGCTTCCTCATCCTCTGAGGATAGTTTACAAATCCATGACCTGGTAAACAGAATGACTACACGTTATAACTTCTGTGGGTTATTTTGGAGAAAAATTCTCACCCAGTGTGATGTTCCCTTGGTGTTATCTGGACCAGTGATCTGCTAGGTCACTCCAATCCTTGACTCTGGGAGCCAGGCTTACCCTACTTTGCTGTTCACGCACAGCCTCTAGCATGTAAGCTGCTCCCAGCTACGTGAGTGAGCGCTGTTGACCAGCCGCTGCTTGGATTGTGCAACCGAATGACACTAGCCAATATCTCCGGTCCCAGACACAACCCTTGGAACCTTGGTCTTGCAGTGTCCAGTTATGCCCGCTGGACGCTGCAAGGTTATATCAATTCGTCAATTTAACAAAGAAATTGATATGCCGTGTAGCGGTGCCTGCTCCCGGCCCCGCCACAAACTCAGTCAGAGACCGCTCCAAAGTACATGCACCAGTGCTCTTTTATTGTCCGTGCATATCCCCACCACTTACTATTTACATATCTTACAGACCAACGCCCTGGGAGACCGCTAGCTTCTCCTGCCAGCAGGAATCTAGAGCTCCTTGTTCCTCCCTTCCCTGTCAGCCATGAGGACACATTTTCAGCCTCATAACTCTATACATGAAATTACAACCTATAACATTACTATAACAACAATGCTCAATGCATCATGAGTAGACAGCAGGTAAATGTTCTCGGGGGGTGTCATTCAACTCCCCAGCTCCATTGTTGACTATCATCTTGGTTGCTTCCAAGATTTGGTGGGGAGTCTACCTCAACAATCTATCAGTTTGAGTTCACTGGAGCTCAAGGAAAATACATTACATATAAACATATTGGAGTTAAAAGCACTCATATCTTCCCCCTCCCCCAACCCCCTCACATCCAGAACAAAATAGTGGTGGGTTGTCACAGACAACGTGATGGCAGTGTATTACCTGAATGAACAGGTCTCAGCTCTGCAAGGAAGCAGTTAAATTAGGGGATTGGTGTAGCCACTAAAACATTTCACTAATTGGCCTGCCCCTGCCAGACAAGGACAACAGCATAACATATCAACTCAGCAAAGATCTCCTGCAATTACACAAAAGTCTGTAAAGAGCTGAGAAGATATTTGCAATCTTTGAAGGTTTCTGGACATAGAGCCCTTCACCCTCAAGCAGAATACTAAGTGTCCCCATTTCTGCTCAAGAGTAGTAGACAGAGACTGTATCGATATTGGATATTTTTCTTCTGAATTGGGGGATGGGTTCTCCCTTCCCCCATTCCTCTTATGCAGAGGGTGATAAAGATAAGAAGACACAATGGGGCTAGGATAATTCTAATTGCTCCAGCATGGCTGAGGCAGCAGTGATATACAGATCTTCATCTTTCCAAGGGAGTATACAAACTTCCAGTGATGCCACACATTTCGCAACAGGTGAGAAGATTTATCACTGGGAACCTTCTTTTGCTACACCTAGCTGCATGGGATATGGGTCTCTAACAGACCTTGTAAAATCTTGCACTTCAGTGGTGGAACAGATTCTGATTGTTTCATAGAGTTAATCAGTGAGAGAGTGTTACGATCTTATGTGGTTTAGGTTTGTGGACTGGATAAGTGACAAGCATGTCGATCCTGTACAGGCATCAGTTCAATATGTTCTTGAATGCTTAGTGCATTTAAAGTCTCTGGATCTTTCTATATCTTCTCTGAAAGTACACTTAACAGCAGGGGCAGCACATCATATATTTATAGTTAACAAATCTGTCGTTGCACATGATACAGTTCAGAAGTTTATGGAAGATGTGGTCAGTATGTATGCACCAATAAGACCTCAGTTCTCCATGGGAACACAGTTTAATCTTAATACAACTCATGAAACCTCCTCTTGAGTCAATGGCAGATAGTTCTTTGTTTCATTTGATCTGTTAAGACCACTTTTACAATAGCCATTTTTTAGCCAGAAAAGAGAGCGAGTCACATGCCGTCATGGCAGACCCCCTCATTCACTATCCTTTATAGAGATAAAGTTGTTCTTAGGCCTCACCATAGATTTCTTCCCAGCGTGGTTTCTGAATGTTATATTAATCAAGCAATTAACTTGCTGGTTTTCTTTCCTAGATCTACATGCCCATAAAGGGAATCTAAATTATATACCTTAAGCACAGAGAGCTTTAGTTTACTTTCTTAATAGGGACTAAAGAATTTCAGAAGTCCCTAATATTTCCTATGCTGATAGCCCTAAAATCTTGCTATTTTTTTCAGTCATTATCTAGGTGGGTGTATATAGAAGAGGAATATTGGATTAAATCTGTTCTGCATTGAGACCACAGTCATCTTATTGTAGATATACATAAGTGTGTGCAGCACACTTCATTAGGGTGTGCACCCAGGGCGCACTGCCCTAGCCCCAGCCCAGCCTGGTGGAGCTCCGGGCCGGCCAAAGCCCCGAGCTCCCCCCACCTGCCTGGAGCAGCCCCAAGACAGCTGCAGCCGTGCATCCTCTCCCCTTCCCTCCCTAGACCCAAGCCGCCCAGATGTTTTTCATTATTATTTGGACTTCCGTTATGTCAAAGCTTTTTTAAATTTACTTCAGAATTGTTGTTACAGACAACCCTTTTACCAAAAAAGCAAAAGAAATAATAATAAAAAAGACAAGAATGTGCAGAGCACCTTATTTGTGTTTTCTATTCTGTTAGGTCCAGTAAAGGATAGAGATAACTTGCATGATTTTCATTATTGAGTCTGTAAAAAAAACCACACCAAACCTTACATAAATAAATAAATTACAATGGTTTGGGTGTATATATGTGCATATTACTTTACTGACTTTAGGAAAAATAAATAATTTTAGGGAAAAGTGTCAGTGGGACCACCAGCAAGAGTTGGTGGCCGCACTCTGAGGCCACCAAAAAATTTGTTGCGAGAACCCTTGCCTAGTCATATCTTTACAAAACACTATTGCCTAGATCTGGCATCTAGATCATGCGCTCAGTTCAGTAGGCTAGCATTCCAATCCTTAGTCAGTCATGTGAGTTCCCCATATCCAGTCATGGGGTACTGATTGCCAAGCTATCCCCTGAGTACAACTATGTAGAGGACACCCAAAGAAGAAGTGGATGTTACTCAGTTGTAACCAGAGTGCTTAGAAATGGACTCTGCATATTCACACTCATAGGATGTGCTGTTTGGTGCAGTCTGGATAGTGGTATCTTCTTGTAGC